TGATAAACTAAAAACAGTAAGCCAAAGCTTAGTGAGTTCCCCCAAAGTACCACCAAACAAACATATAATCAAACAGGTAATGGGTCCACAACCTCCTGGTTGGATTACCCCAACCCACAACCTTTCGGTTGGAATGCCCCAGCCCACAACCTTTCAGTTGGCTTGTACCATACATAACGAGTCCACAACCTCCTGGTAGGATTACCCCCAACCCACAACCTCCTGTTTGGAATTCGCTGGCCCACAACCTTTCGGTTGGAATGCCCCGGTCTGTTGACTGGTAGCACAAAGCAGTACAGTCTCAACCCCACCATACCATGTCGACAAATACATAACAAATAACATATATCCAGCAACAGATAATCATATAACCAATTGACAGACTAGCAGACAGATCTAAAGATCCCTATTGTATAGCAAGATCCTATATACCAGGATACATAACTAAAGCGGTCGGCATTGGTGCCTTCAACCCACAGGCACAGTGAGGAAAACTCACCTCACAATCTAACAAATAGCTGAACAATACACTACTCTGAATACCGGCTCTACAGGTCACCTACTCAACAGATAGAGTCCAAGGCTTAACTATAGCTCAAAATACCCTTAAGTAAAACTTGGTCAACCTTGTTCAAAGTTAAATTCAATGCTTCAAGGAGTCAACTTGGTCTACTCAGCCGAGTACGCGGGTCATACTCAGCTCCTACGCTGGGCGTACTCTGGTTTTGACCGGAGTCGGGCGGTTGATCCCGTACGCACGACGTACGCTAGGATACGCACGGCGTACCCTTAGAACCTCCTTTCCTCAATAAGAGATTAATGCATTATGCTCTCACGTCCCAATTTCAGATCCAAGGCCAAAATACCACTAAGAGTCATAAAATCCCAAAATCCCAACTTCTTACCACCTTAAGACCTTCTAGAGCATGCATGGGGAAAAACTAAGCATCAAACCCACATTTTTATGACTCAATACCCCTCATTAGGTCTAAAAGGACGACTTATTTGGTTAAGGGAATGTCATGCTCCAGTATCACCATATTTGGGACCAAAAATGCCCTAAATGAAGAAATGGCTAGATCTACAAGATAAGATGATCAAGTTATGAGCTTTTTACCTCCTGGAGGTTGCTAGCAAGGAGAGAATCCCAGATCTAAGTTGCTTCCTAGCTTTAAGGTCTTCCCAACACCTTCTTCTTCTTCAATAGTACCACAAAACACAAAGATAAGCTCAAGATGCACTTTTTCACTTAGGGTTAGCTAGGGGGATATTTTCTTAGATGGAGGCTGATGAGGGAATGAGAAATGAGGTGATAATGATGCTTATATATGGACCAAACCCTAAAAATTAGGGTTTGAGGTTTCTTCATGTACGTTTGGCGTACGCGGTGTACACTTAGCATACTAAAGTTCGCCCTAGTACGCCCATCGTACACAATGTACGCCCATCGTACTAGAACTTTGGCTAAAATCACCAAAATGCCACTATGGGCCATTCTTGCAATATTTCTCAAGCCCAAGGGTCAAAATGCAATATTCCTTCATACATAGGGTTAAAATTAGAATACCTCGACATTAAGATGTTACAATTATATATCATGGTTATAGGATAGTGATATGCTAGTTTATGGCTGATTACTAGATCTGTATGATTATTTGTATTTGTTGGATCTGTGTTTATGGTTATTTGTTACATATGTCGGCATATTGTGTTTGGGTTGAGCCAGTCCTAGTTTGTGCTGAAGGCCAAGACACACGGGGCGGTCCGAATAGGCTGTAGGTCCTGCGAGGCGCTCCAGTCAGGCCGAAGGCCTGTAGAGCGGTCCAGATAGGTTGTAGTCCATGCGGGGCGGTCCATTCAGGCTGAATTCTTATGTTTATATGCTTTTGTTTGTTATGGTATGTGGTGGTACTTAGGGGGAACTCAATAAGCTTTGACTTATAGTTTTAGTTCATTGTTTCAAGTACTTCAGAGGATCGTGGGAAAGCGAAGACATGATCGTCCACATCTTCCTGTTTTTATGATAATGGATCTTGGGATACTCTAATTTTCAATAATACTTTTGAAACAATGGTTTTGTAAACACTTTATGGAAGAAATGGGTTGTATTTGAAAATTTTAAATTTCTATGAATTTTTGAGTTGTTACAAAAATATTTTCAAAATTTTGGGAATTTCTTTTACAATTCTATAAAGATTTAATTCTGTTAAAGCATAATATTATTTTCAAAATTGACCAAAATATTGGAAGTCACACTAAATCGTGTGGTTGCAACTATTTGTAGGTTTGTTGGGTTGAGAGTATGACTATGGCGGGAAACTAGTGTATTCACTTTCATTGTTCACATATTGTATAAACATATTGCTTGTTGTTTGAGGTATATTTTGTTTGTAACACCCCGACTCTCAGCTACAAACTTTCAGTCTTATATTTCCATTGAAAAGTTCGACTCGACGAGTTAGATGCCCTGACTCGTCGAGTAGGCACGGTTTTGGTCGCGGGTCTTAAGTGACCGACTCGACGAGTCGGAGGACAGACTCGACGAGTCGGAGCTGGAATGAGAAAACACTAATTTCAGGGTTTGCACCCTATTTATAGGACCTTAAGTCCCTTCCTTCATCCCCCTTATCACTTGTTGACGGCTAAAAGGAAACCCTAACCGATCTAGACTCCATTCTTGAGTATGTGAGGAACTAAAGTGTGTTTTGGTGCTTTCATTAAGAGAACTCAAAGATTTAAAGGCTTGGATTGAAGAAGAGGAAGTGGATCTGCCATCTACATCTATTTGGGAGCTAGCTTGAGGTAAAAAGCTTGTAACTTGACCCTTTCATACTTAGATCTCTTTATGTTAAGATTAGGGCCATTTTAGCTTGTTTGGTGTTTCATTTCGGGTAATGATCATGATTTGAAGTTGCAATTTCAAATCTAGACTCATCTTGGTTCTTATGGTCATAAAGTTTCAGCCTTTAGCAAGATAATGACTTATCCTCACTTAGAACCTCTTCTCTAGCTTGATTTGGCCATTAGCACCTTGCATGTACGTAAAGTTTGCAACTTTACGTAGGAAGTATGCTCTAGGAACACAGATCTGCAATATGGAGCTTTGGGGTGGCTTATAAGCATTTGAATGGAGAAAGGACTGAAGAGACTCGACGAGTTGCTTGGCCAACTCGGCGAGTCCGATGAAGATTGGCCTTGAAGGTTTCTGCATAGACTCGGCGAATCAGTAGGGTGACTCGACGAGCCAGTTAGGGTTTCCTCGACTTCATATTACGCATAGACTCGACGAGTTGGTGGTAAACTCGGCGAGTCAGTGAGGGTTTTATGACCTTATGAACCCTTAAGGAACTCGACGAGTTGCTAGCTGCTCTCGACGAGTTGGGTCAACATGGACTGTTGACTTTGACTTTGACCAAGGGTTGACCAGTTTGACCTCTGGGGGTATTTTAGTAATTAGGAATCTATGGGAGTGGTCTCATGGTAAATATAGGTGGTGGAGTTCGTGGCTGTGGTTCGAGAGTTTGAGCTTATCACTTCAATTCGACAGTTGTGAGGTGAGTTTTCCTCACTATGCTCAAGGGTCTAAGGCACCAAGGTCGTCCCTTTTTTATTATTACTCTGATATGTTATGGTAGTATGATCTGTTAGATTAGCATCCTGGTAGATAGGATGGTATTATGTTGCTATGATCTATAGATCAGTATCATGGTAGATAGGATGATGTTATGCTAGTATGATCGGTTAGATCGGTTTGTATGTCTATAGATTGTTATGTGATTATGTGATATATGTGCACATGTTTGATTGGTGGTTGAGGCTCCTCTACTTTGTGTGAGAGTCAACAGACCTGGGCATTCCAACCCGATGGTTGTGGGCCGTGAGTATTCCATCCCAAGGATGATTGGACTCGTAGTATGAGGGCATTCCAACCTGATGGTTGTGGGCCTGGGGTATTCCATCCCGAGGATGATTGGACCTATAGTATAGGTGACATTCCAACCCAATGGTTGATGGCCTGGGGTATTCCAACCCGATGGTTGATTGGACTCATAGTATGTTGTTTGTGTTATATGTATGTTGATATGCGTATGGGTATTTTGGGGGAACTCACTAAGCTTTGGGCTTACAGTTGTTGATTTTGTTTCAGGTACTTCTGATGATCGCGGGAAGGCAAAGGCATGATCATGCACCTTTTGTTGTTTATGATTTGATTCTGGGATATTTTGACATTAAACTATTTTGAAAACAACTTTTGTAATAATCAATGGTTTTGGGATAATTTAAAATTTTAAATTTTTATAGAGTCGTATTCTGTAAGAATGAAAATTAGTGGAAAACGATGCGTGAGAACAAAAATGAATTAGAATTAGTGAGAATGCATGAAAATAACGATAGTTGTGTGAGGTTGAAAGTATTCACATTGCTAAACAACCTATTTTGTTAGTAATTCTCATAGAATAGCATTGTCCACACGTCCGCACAATAGTTGTCCATCCACATTATAACCTAGCCCTATATATATATATATATATATATATATATATATATATATATATATATATATATATATATATATATATATATATATATATATAATATATATATATATAGAGCAAGGATCATTTGAGAACTCAAAGTTTCCCAAGAACCCGAGAACCAAACCAGGGCTGTTAGATCAAAATAATAAAAGGCTAGGATCATTTGTGGCATTTTTGTAAATACTTGGGAAAAAAACAACACAAGGGCATGATAATTAAATGATTCAGGGGCATTTTAGTGATGAATTACCCTGAATCAGGTAAACCCTGTCCATCTCTCTCTCTCTCTCTCTCTCTCTCATCCCACCTCCTATCGTTACATCGCCTCCAAAGACGGCCCTTCGTTCATGTTCTTCCTCATCGTCGTTATCTTTGGTCACCGTTGATCTGGCAATTGGAATCGATTTCTCGCATGGATCTTATGAGTATCATCAGGAAACGCTTGATAATCTCCAAACTGCCATGGATAACACCGGTATTCTCTGTGCAGTTATGCTCGATACCAAAGTAAGTCGTCTTTATTATCTACTAGATCTCCACTAATCGATCGATTATTTGCAATCTATTTTTTGCATCATCTACACAACAATGTATAATTCTTCTAAGTGTTTATGCATCTGATATGGATTTAATTTTGACTTCTGTGGTAAAATTGACTACTTCTGATATTGATTCTATCACTAAATGGTGTTCAAAAGTATAATCTAGTTCCCAATTATGTTGGGAGGTTGACTTTTTCATTATCGTTTGATGTTATGGTTCGTTGATCTCATCTAATTAGAACTATCAGCTCATCCTTATTGGTCATGGCTACGCCATTTGTTTTCCATTCAGCCATGACATCGGTTTTTGATATGATAAAAACTAAATTATCAGTCAACGATCTATCTCGCTCTCTTGTTCTTCATCGATTATCTCCTCTCTGCTCGCCTCCCTCCGCACATTAACAATCAGAAAACCTAATCGCTAGATTTAAAGGAAGTCGGTAATCTGATTTATTGCCCTAAACCTGCAACTGTACGGCCATGGGATGCCCGCTTCTCATCTAACCTCATTTATTTCCAGCTCCACCTCAGGTTTTGCCATTACTTATGTAAATTATTTCCATAGAACACTATAATCTCACCTGTTGTGTACATATTTGTTTCTAGTTTTGGGTTTCATTATAATCTGATTTAATTGACATGCATTAGCCCGAAAATAATGTTCATGCGTTAATGTACCGAATTTTAACAGGCAGTTGATTGCTCTCCTGTGAGTTCAGTAGCTGTAAACAAAGCTTCTTTTGTAAATACATCAACTTCTGGTATGCAACTATGCAAGTGAAGTGATGCTCTTTCATTTGCTTTCACTTGAAATATCTCTTCATGTTCTAACTTGTTTTCTTATATTCTCAAGGGTCGCAAAAAATACTTGTAAATAAGATGGTGCGGACAGATTCATAGGATCCGTCTGGGAGGATGCATGCTTATTTGCAAGATAAGCCTTCTAGACACCATGAAAGCAATTCTGGTTTGAATTCTTTGAGGTAGGAATAGGATCTGTCTCTATCTTTCCATATAAACAATTGGTAACACTCCTCATGAAGTTGGACAAGAGTATCCATGCCCTACTACTTGTTACAATCAAAGGTGTCTGCAATGCAGGTCTTCCATCAGACAGAGAAGGAATCCTAAGGAAACTATTGATCTTACAAGTGTTCAAGAACTTATTGATGAATTTGAACATGGTTGTCACTCTGGTACCCTTCATCACCACATTCATTATGAACAATATATGCACAATCTTCTTGTGTTGTTGATGTCTGATCACTGATGTGGTTCTTTCTGTTAGGTCTTTTGGACACTATAAGGAACTGCACATATGTTGGCATGGCTGATGATGATTTTGCTCTCCTTCAGCATAATACTCATCTATATCTTGCCAATGTTGTAAATTTGAGGTAATATACTACATACCACCTCTCCTTTCTGATCTGTTCCAGCTAAGTACTTGATATATATATATATATATATATATATATATATATATATATATATATATATATATATATATATAGTTAGCTTTGCATAGTTCCTATAGGTTGGGCTCTAAATTCCTTTTTTTCTTTTTGTAGCAAAGAGCTCATGTATCAACTGGTTCTGCAAGGATTTGGTTACTTCAATGCCATATAGTTAAGTGAGCCTGCTCCATTGCAAGAACTAATCATGCTGGCACTAACTAAAGAAGATACAGATTTACAAGGCGTTGAGAATGATGACTTAAAAGGAAAGATTGCTCAAGTAAGTCTTTCAGTGGATCATGATTACCTGTATACAGATGAATGCTAAGCTACTAATGTCGAGTCTCTGGTTTTAGCATTACTATCATCATTTCATTACATATGTATACACATGAATGCTAAGCTACTAAGCGAGAAATCTGAATTGCTGGATGAATATTTTGTCATTCATGTGGATCCACAAGCCAATTTGTCAAGGCTTCCTGTCATACTTGACCAGTACACACCTGACATGGACCGTGCTCCAGAATTTCTTCTTTGTCTGGGAAATGATGTAAGCTACACACCAAAATGTATATAATACAATTATGCACAAATATAAATACATAATTATATCTTGTTTAGGTGACATGGAATGATGAGAAAGTTTGCTTTCAAACAATTGTTGCCGCTCTTGGAAACTTCTATGCTATGCATCCACCTCTATTGCCAAATCCATCAGGTGAAGGAGTTTCAGATTTTTATAAAAGACAAGGGAAAGGAAATGTTTCAGGAGGTACTTTTTTTTTGCACTCTAAGTTCCTTTAACTTGTTTGATCTGTGTACATTACATCCATTTTTGAGTTAAAAGACCTTAGAAGGGATATTTGAGAAAATGCAACTACAAAACTAAATACCCCTCAACCTTTCCCATTCAAGGTCCATCTCCCTCGTTTTAGTTGAAGTAAGGATTTCACAGGGGGATTTTCGGCACAAATGCAAAAGATAGGGATATATTTTAGAGAGGGCCATTTTTTTCTATTGTTGCGTTGTACTTTCAAAAAAATTCAGTTTGAAAATAACAAAAGTAATCGATATATTTGAAACTTTGTGTAGAACAATATAATGTGATTTCTAAACAAAAATATTAATGCTAGAAAACATTGGTGCTTTATTTTTTAGTTTGAAAAAGAATAGGTTACACTTCAAAGAACTTTTGTTGGAATTTTTCACATGGAAACTCTTATGTATATTAAATCAACTCTGCTTTTATGGAACAACAGTTTCAAACCATCAATTGCTACTCCGTTCTCTGGAAGAATGCAAGTTTTCAACAAATTCAACATCTGTTATTGGTGCTTTATTTTTGAGTTTGAAAAAGAATAGGTCCTATTTTTCTAAATGGATCTTTATTATTTATGTGTTGGCAGTGATGAATTTAATGTGAATCATAAATATACTAATACATATTTGATTCATATAAAAGTATAGTGCAGTGGTTAATCTGGTTCTCATAGTGGAAAGATATATGTTTTTATTGGTATGATCTAGTTAATTAGTTGTTATGATTGGCTAATATGGTTCTGAATTTTGTGTGATATTGTGAAGAACTTAGATCTGTTAAGTACTAACTCTTGTTAGATAATGTTTTGAACTTTTTCAGGTTGAGTGGTCTGGATGCCATTAGTCTTGGAAATGAAGTAGAAGATGGACTTAATGTTGTTGATCCTAACCTTTCACCTTTAGTTTTATGTGGTAAAGATTTTTGTGATGCAAATGGTATAAAAAAAAACAATCACAAGTGAATGACATATGAATTACATGTGATTCACATGTAATTCACATGTAAATCACATATGAATTACATGTGATTCACATGTAAATCACATATGAATTACATGTGATTCACATGTAAATCACAAGTGAATCACATATGAATACAAGTGAATCACATATGAATTACATGTGATTCACATGTAATTCACATATAAATTACACGTGATTCATATGTAAATCACATATGAATTACATGTGATTCACATATGAATTACATGTGATTCACATGTAAATCACAAGTGAATCACATATTAATTACAAGTAATTCACATATAATTCACATGTAATTCACATATGATTCACTTGTGATTCACATGTAAATCACAAGTGAATCACTTATGAATTACATGTGATTCACATGTAAATCACAAGTGAATTACATATGACTTACATGTTATTTATATGTAATTTACATATTAATCACATTTAATTCACAAGTGATTCACATATAAATTACATGTGATTCACATGTAATTCATATGTAAATCACTAGTGAATAACATATGAGTTACATGTGATTCATATGTAATTTACATACGAGTTACATGTGACTCATATGTAATTTACATATGAATCACATGTAATTCACAAGTGAATCACAAGTGATTTGCATATGAATTATATGTGATTTACATGTGATTTATATATGATGTTATATGTATTTTTGTGAGTTTTTTGCATCAATCAATTTTTTTTTTAATTTTCTTGTAGATTTGGAAGATATTTTAGTGAATATTGAAGAGGTGAAAATGATAAATTGAAGAAAATAAGGAAATATTGACACGGAGACATGAAAATACTTTGAAATTTGTAGCATTTTTTATTTTTTATATTTTATTTTGTATCGAATAAAATACTTGTGCTATTATGTTTATAGATTAATTAATAAAAATGAGATTTTTTATGATTTACTTACGAATATTATAGTATTAGAAATATGCATATATGTATTTGAAAAAATATGCATATATGCACCTAATACTTTGATTTTTTTTGTTAAAAAAACAAGAGTATTTTTTTTAAATATTCTAGTTCTTTTTTTTTAATTTATTGATTTTTAAAAATTTACTTTTAAAAAAATACAGTTTTTTTGAAAAAATTGTAGTTTTTTTTTAAATACAGTTTTTTTTTTTTTTTTGAAAAAATACAGCTTTCTTTAAAAAACTTGCAGTTTTTTTTGAAAAAAATTACAGTTTTTTTATTTAAAAATGCAGTTTTTTTTAAAAAAGGTGCGGTTTTTTTTTTTGAAAAAAATGCAGTTTTCATTAAAACAAATTGCAGTCTTTTTGAAAAAAATGTAGATTTTTTGAAAAAAATTGCGATTTATTTGAAAAAAAAAATGCAGTTTTTTTGAAAAAAAAATACTTTTTTTTTAAAAAAAATTGCATTTTTTTGTAAAAAAAAAATTCTTTAATTTTTTTTCATAAATTCATGTTTTCTATAAAAAATTAAAAAATCTGCACTTTTTAAAAAAATTGAAAATTTCAATTTTTAAAAAAATCCGAAAATTTTATTTATTATGTAACTTTTTAAACATTTACATTAATATGATCAATAACACAAAAAATTAAACATTAAATGAGATTGGTAAGATGACGAACATGTCCTTAATGAATTAATTTTGATCCAACGCTTCACTTTTAGTTGTTGAGTTCTCGGGAAAGTATGAGTTCTCAACTGATCTCACCCATATATATATATATATATATATATATATATATATATATATATATAAAAGGGATCGGGTGATGACTCATTTTAAAGTGAGGACTCATGAAGACATATTATATATATATATATATATATATATATATATAATAAAAATATGGTCATCTTGATGATTATGCCTACTTTTTAATACATATATAAGATAGAAGCGATTAATATGAATCAAAAGAATGCTTAGATTTAGAATCCCAAATGGCACGAGGAAGTCACAAGTGTGTCGCTTGTGAATAAAGTAATCGTGAAAGGTGATGTAATATTATTTGCATGATCCATGCGACAAAATACATGACATAACAAAAGAATGAAGTTAAATTCTTTCTTGTTTTATTACATGAATCATGCTTAAATTCCAAATTCTCTCTTATTCGTGCATTAATAACTCAACTCATATAAATGATTATCAATGCATGCATGTCAGACATATGTGAGGTGGTTTTTATTTAGGGTTTGTCAACTTCTCTGTTTCATGATGTATTTTGCAAATGGCAATATTTATCTTGGAAACTTTATGTAAACACACACATATATATATATATATATATATATATATATATATATATATATATATATATATATATATAGATTCATGTGAGACCATCTAATTTTGTGAGAACGTAAGATTATTTTTTTTCTAGTGAAATATTTTAATATTCTAGTGTTTATAAAAATTAAATATGTGTAATATTCTATACTCTAAAACAATAATTTTAACATATTTTACCTTGAAAGATGTCTAAAACATATAATTTAGAATAGATATATATATAGATATATTATATATCTTATATATATATATATATATATATATATAGGGGAGCGAGAGAGGCGAGAGCGGTAAAAATTCATTTAAGATAGACATATTTATAAGATCGTGAAACCAAATTTTTCTAGTGAAATATTTTAATATTATAGTCTTCGACAAAATATAATATATATAATATTCTTATATTATATATTTTATAGAGTATTATGATATTTTACATTTTATATTTTATGAATACTTGAGTATTAAATATTTCATTAGAAAAAAATAATCTTACGGTCTCACAAAAATAGGTCGTCTTTTATATATATATTTATATATATATATATATATCTTATATATATTTATAGAGTATTATGATATTTTACATTTTATATTTTATGAATAACTTGCAATCTAAACTATTCATTAGAAAAAAAATAATCTTACGGTCTCACCAAAAATAGGTCGTCTTTTATATATATATATATATATATATATATATATATATATATATGGGAAAAGTGAATATAAATTACAGCCTCACCTAAGTTTAGGTACTAAACCTCATGAAAATAAGTTGTTTTACTATATAAAGATTGCGATTAGGGGGTTCACGATTAATAATTGAAGATGTAGATTCATAATGTACATAATAGTTTTGATAAGGAAGCAAGAACATTGATTATCTTCGACCTTCGTGACGGTGGAAAACAATAATGTTCACTAGGGTGAAATAATAAACGATAATGGAAGAATGAAAACAAGGATGGTAAAACGATAATGGAGGGAAGAAATGTTATTGGGGACGATATATTTACCAAATGAAAACCAAATCGACTTTAATTACTAAGTTAAAACGAAATATTTTAGAGGTTTAGTACCTAAACTTAGGTGGGGCTGTAATGTGTATTCTCTATCCCCTATCTATATAATATATATTATATATATATATATATATATATATATATATATATAATATATATATATATATCAAATTCAAATAAGACTAGATTATATATTAGTTAGTTTGTATATTTAATTATGAATATACAAACATCAATGACATTTAATATTGTATTATATGTCCATACACAGTTAGTTGATATATTAGTTGTATATTTTACTTGGAATATATATACAAGTAGCAGGAGCATAGCTATAATATTAAAAGAATATAGATTAAATATAAAAGTATATCGATACTTATATCTATTCATAGATAAAAAAAATTTATAAATTTTTATATAATTTTCGTCAATTTCTATATGTATATATTTAAAACTTTTAACGGCAAAATTAATGTCAACCCATAGGAACCAAAATTCTAATTTACTCTAGAAATAAATTTGGGATTACTTTATTAACAAGGTTGTCAACTATCTTTTTATGATACATATATGCATGCATGATGTATACATACACCTATATTTCTAATATTAAAAATGGCGAGTTTCCAATTAATGCCTTTTTCCCACACTTACACTTAGCCTCTTCTCTAACTATATCTCACATTCACTTCTATAAATAGCAACATCTCTCTTTATTCTTCACAAGTAAACCAACTGCAGAGATACACTAAGATAGAGAGAATGAAGCTAATCAAAGAGCTTGCTATGTTGGTGTTTGTAGGGTACCTTTTCCTATGGGTGATAACGCCAACCTATGTCTACAAGCAAAAGTGGCTCGTTAGGGTTCGAGCCCACACCACTTCTACTTACTTTGGAACTCAAGGTTTGGTTCCGTATATTTCTCCAACCACCATTTTCTCACTCGGGCCATATATGAGTCCAGTTCGTTTTTTATTTGTTTTAGTTTGACTAATTTTTTTTCTAAAAGAGTTAACTCACACACCTACTACTCAACTTCTAAATTTATACATTTTATTTCAAAAGGACTTGAATCATCAAAATTGGGCTAATAAACATCTTTTTGTCGGGCTCTTTGGTGTTTGGCTAAAATAATTAACTAATACAAATGAGCAATGATACATGATTTGTTTGTGTTTGTGAAACGTAGTTCACGTTATTTTTTACTGATTAATTATTGCTTTGCTTGAGCTTATATTATTATATATCAACATAATCTTTAACGTCTTAAGATGTACTCGATTCATGAAATTTTGCTATGATAAAATTATGATCCTTATGATTTAATATAAATAATTATTGATCTAGAGAATTATTACATTATCACAAAGAAAAATGGTGAAGAACTATTGCATAAGTTTGAACAATAAACAGTTGTTTTATACACTTGTTCGATTGAATCATAACATTAAAAGACCAAACACATAAATTAATAACAAAACCTTTTCTATTTATTTTCTGTTTTTTTAATCTTTAAATGCATATACTTTCAGGTCCAACGATGTTGCTCTATACATTCCCTGTTCTATTAATGGCTGTCGCTGGGAGTGTATATCTCCATTTGAAGAAAAAGTCGAACCGAAACCGGGATCAAGGGTATGTTATTCATTTCAGTTATATACTTGCTTCTAAAAATATAATTTTATTATTCTCCAAATTTCAGACACAAAGAAGCTACCAGTGATAACTTGACCATATGGAGAAGGCCCATGATCGTTAAAACTCTAGGAATCGTCACAAAAATTGAGCTTGCTTTCTTCATTATGTTTATTGCTCTTCTTGTCTGGTCTTTCACGGAATACTTACATCTCAGTTTTGCAAAAATTACCCCTCAATCAGCAGCTCTCTATGGAGAGAAAGTGTACGTGAATCGATATATTACTTTTAGTTTTACAACATATGAGTCAAGTTAGGGCTGTTTGGTACACCTCACAATGGTTCCATTAAGAGGTTATCTCTGAATCGGTTAGCATTCAAAGCGTTTGATACAACTTTTGTATTGAATGAATCAAAAGCCTTGAACTGCTTATGAACGATTAGACAATCTTACCTCTCTTAAACAATAAGAGGTTGGACCACTCACTTCAATATTCAACGTGAATTACCAAACAGCCTCTAGATTCGTGTCAGATTTAAATTTATGTCTTAATTTGATGGTTGTTTTGGATTATAGTTGGGAATCAAAATTGGCTTCGGTGGCCCTACAATTCGGGCTAATTGGAAACATATGTCTAGCATTTATGTTTTTCCCCGTGACTCGAGGCTCGTCTTTACTGCCATTGTTTGGTCTTACTTCCGAGGCGAGTGTCAAGTATCACATATGGCTCGGGCATATCGTTATGACCCTCTTCACTTCTCATGGTGTTTGTTACATTATTTGTTGGATTGTAACAAAGCAAACATCAGAGGTATTTTTTAAACACTTTAGATAGTTGGTTACGACAATAACCCTAGATTAAAATATTGAAAATTCAAAATATTTTCTTACAAAATTAATATGGTGGTCCAAATCTGAAAACTTTTTGACTAAAATGTTGGATTTAGATGTTGAAATGGGCGAAAACCGACATATCTGTTGTTGCGGGAGAAGTGTCTTTGCTGGCAGGATTGGTCATGTGGGCAACAACATTCCCTCAAATTAGGCGAAAGATGTTTGAGGTTTTCTTCTACACTCACCATTTGTACATCATCTTCATTGTATTCTTCGTGTTCCATGTCGGCATAGGTTATGCCTCCATCATGCTTCCTGGATTCTACCTCTTCATGATGGATCGGTTCTTGAGATTCTTGCAATCAAGGGGGAGTGTTCGTTTGATTTCTACCCGTATTCTTCCATGTGAAACTCTTGAGCTCAACTTCTCCAAGAGCCAAGGTATCATTAAACATGATAGAATGTAGAAAACTTTACTAGTATTGATTTTTTTTGTGATAATTGTTCTCATGATTTCATTTAATAGGTTTGCATTATATGCCAACGAGTATCATATTCATCAATGTTCCAAGCATTTCAAAGACTCAATGGCATCCATTCACAATTACTTCAAGTAGCAATTTGGAGCCTGAGAAGCTAAGTGTTATGATAAAAGGTGAAGGGAGTTGGTCTAAAAAGCTTTATCAAATCTTATCATCCCCAAACCCTATTGATCGGCTTGATGTATGTGTTGAAGGACCTTATGGACCTATCTCGACTAATTTCCTAAGGTAAAAATGTCACATGAATGTTTTGTGCTATGTTTAATCTCTCTCTCTCTCTCTCTCTCTCTCTATATATATATATATATATATATATATATATATATATATATATATATATTAAGACTACGTGTCATTTGTTTCTTTTCTATGAAGTCTTGTTTCAGTAAATGAATTTGAGAAAGCAGATAGATGAAATGAAAAAAAATTAGAGAAAAACAAAATTGTAAAATGTTTAGACATAATGGAAAAACCTATTTTCCACGACTTTTCTATTAAATCACTTTTTTGTGAAAACTCAAAAACAAATCCTCGTATTTTCATCAATTAAAGCCATATCCTCATTAAGTTCATTAAGTAAATAAAAACAATATTTTAATTAAGTTATGGTTGCAGGCACGATATGATAATAATGGTGAGCGGAGGAAGTGGTATCACACCGTTTATCTCAATATTCAGGGAGCTTGTTTTCACAACCGAAACTTTGAAATGTAATGCTCCAAAGATACTCATGATTAGTGTCTTTAAAGACTCTTCTGATCTCACCATGCTAGAATTGCTCTTACCGACACATGGTGCACCTACAGAGTTTTCAAAATTAGAACTACAAATCGAGGCTTATGTGACAAGAGAGAAGCAACAACCGACTAATGATAAGAAACAAGTACAAGCCATTTGGCTCAAACCGAACCCTTCTGATGCACCCATAACCCCTATTTTAGGACAAAATGGTTGGTTATGGCTTGGTGCGATTATTTCTTGTTCTTTTGTGATTTTTCTTCTATCTATGGGATCCTTAACACGATTCTACATCTACCCTATTGATAAAAACACGTACAAAGTGTACTCGTATGCATCGAGAGGGGCATTGAATATGTTGCTCATTTGTGCATCTATAGTGGTAACATGTAGTTTGGGTTTTTTGTGGAATAAGAAGAAAAATGCAACAGATTCAAAGCAAATTCAAAACATGGAGGGAGCAACACCCATTGGCACGCCTAATTCAGTGTTTTATAATGCGGATAGAGAGCTCGAAAGCTTGCCCCAACAGTCACTCATTCAGTCTACAAATGTGCATTTCGGTGAAAGGCCAGATCTTAAGAGTAAGTTCATTTTACACATTTTACATAATGTAAAGTAGTATTATATACTAATTTTAGTTATCAAATATTTTTTTTATTTTAAATTTTATATTCAAATATTTTGTGAATTTTTTTAGGAATGTTGTTTGAGCAAAAGGAATCACGTGTTGGAGTTCTTGTTTGTGGACCAAAGAAGATGAGACATGAGGTTGCAAACATATGCTCAGCAGGATTGGCTTCAAACTTGCATTTTGAGTCCATAAGTTTTAGTTGGTGATCAAATGTTTCATATATGTTCTTAAAAAAGAGTGAAGTGAGTTCTTTTTTCATGATTAATGACGACCTGTATTGGTGTTTGGGTTTAATTTTATTTTTAAAAGGTGTTTCATAAAATGGGAATGTGTATTTAGTTTCTTGTAATTTGTAAATTTAAAATGCAAAAATAAATGTTTCTTGGTTTACAAGTCAATAAATGAATTGTTAGCAAACTTTATGCATCAAGTAGGCATGTGTCCACGAGTTACACATAATTAAAACTGTATGATAAAAAGTATTGACAAATCAGTTATAAAACTTGAAACATTTTGATCTAAATATTTCAAAATAATTATAAATAGGCTTTATCACAATTCAACAATAAATTTTTTATCGGAAAAAAATGAACAAAATAACATAATCACATCTTTTAAGTCAATGATAATTCTAGTTTCAAAGTCTTTTTAATGTTTACATCATGTTAGTTTAACCAACATCAACGCTAGATCCAACAATATATATGCACCATATAGATGGCTCAATGTTAAAACATAATAATATACATTTACCTGACTGGAATTTAAAGAAAAAAGAAGAAACTATAACATAATAATAATAAAATAATTTTTTTTTGTATGAAGCATATTGTTATGGATAATTATTTTAGTAGCAATACACACACATACGTTGATAGTGAGTCGTCATTTAGTCTATCTACAGACTACAATATTATTAACTATCAGCCTAAATCCCTTGTTAAATAAGAGGCAAACCTAATACCGAATATACACTGAAAACTTCAAAAATATATAAAGATGTTTATTATTGTAGCAAAGACGAGTAAATACAAGAAATTAAATAGGAGCAACAGTAACACACATATTATGCCCTGGATTTTTTAATTTCTGAAACTCATGTATTCTCTAATTATACAATATTTATCAATATTAAGCTTGATACTGAATTTTATAATTAACGTATATTTATGCTGACATAAAACTTTGAAATTATCCTCAACAAATGGGAATGCAACTATGATACCAATTTGCAACACCATTAGTTTTGAGTTAATAGATGCTTTAATATATGTCCCCACTTTTTCATAACAATAAAAATCACATAAGCAAGTTAAAGAGTTGAACGTTGAATACACCCTTTTATAAAATTAGGACAAATGAAACATTGTAGCATATGGTCATCAAAAAAGGCTCATAGATTCCTCTACCATAATCATTTTAAATAAGGTAAGAAATTGTAAACATACTTCTTCGATTCAAGTTAAACCATCATAATTAAGAACGCAAACTCAAAAGATGCAAATTGCAATGTGGTCATTCTCTTCGTTATCGACTTATGTCAGTAAGCGATATAATTAGATCAACCAAGCAAAAGTAGTTTTTCCATATATGAATTCATATAGAACCCAAAAGGTGATCTAGAAATCTCATGAACATTGTTTTGTTTTAAGTTGGGCTCATAAACTACAAGTTTCTCCGGTACACTATCATCATCATCTGATGTATGCCTTATAGCCATAGGTATGCCATTCTTCCTGAAACCCACTATTGTGTGCCGTGTCTTTAAGGTAAATAGATTTGTAAACGATCTTTGAACACCATGCCTCATCATACACACGATATAGATGTTTTCCCTACATTAAAGAATGGTAAGAGAATCCTGTAGATTAGTAATATACATGCATATGGGATTATGGGTAGCTAAACTATCTAGAAGGTCTATCGCTTCAAAATTCTAATTACTCGATCAAATGACATAATCATACTAAAAGCTCTCAAAAATTGGCTACCAAACACATCCTTAATGCTTTATGCATAAATCTTAGTCTTTCGTTAAATGATTTTTACTTAAACTGGAATTTCTGATATATTGTTTAGAAAATAAAATTATTTAATATAACAAATTAGACACACAAACATAAAAATACGCATTTTATAAACGTAACAATACAAATTTACTTAAATATAATTTGACATTGTTTTATTATAATTATAACTTAAAACAAAAAAGGTAAAATAAACTCATGGCAAACACTTTTAATGTGTTGAAAGCCCATATTTGTTTTGACTCACAAACTTCTTACATCAACAAGTACTAGTCAAACTAAGTGCTTGACTAAGATTTTAAGCTCAAACCTTTTGTGCAATTTACAATTTTAACCGGGAAAAAACGTAGCATAACAAAATGGTAACAAAATACACACCTCAACTACTAGGATCTCATCGCGCAACGGATGCACCTAATGCCAAGGGGGTGGACATACCCCACTTGAGGTGGTCCCATCCAATACCAAAGAAAACAAAAATAGAAAATACATTGGTAATGTACCTTTAGATCACACTATAGGCAACAAGACACCATTATAGCCTCTTATACTAGAAAAAATTAAAATAGGCAACAAGACACCACTATAGCGTCTTATACTAGAAAAAATTAAAAAAAACATATTAACATTGATGATTTATGGAATATCTCATATCACCTTAAAAGAGTCGCTCGCCAAAACTACTGTCCACTCTTTAAATTTTGGCAGAACCCATACGAGACAAGAGGAACTCTGCATCCAACCGGCTTTGCAAGATTCCCATTTGAAACTAATAATAAAAAAATATATTTTCTAGTTGCACGAGATAATATGATAGCAAGTATTGGGGGAAAACACTGCAATTTAGTCCCACTGACATGAGTCTTAGTTATGGTCGCACTCCAAAGCACACACCAAACAAAATACAATGTTGTCATGTTATATATTGTCCTATTTAACAAGTTGGCCGTTAGGGTTAAATTCAAAAGTCATCAAATATGAAGTTGTAGCTAGGACTGATTTGCTAACATAAATGTAAAATTACCTAACTTCCCTAAAATAAATCAACTTAATTATTTGATTACAAGCCTTAAGCGCTTTATAGAACGAGGCCACTTTTCAAGCATATAACAAGATAATGACAAGGAATACCTTTTGCAGGAAATGAGGAAATAACAACATATTTTACTCTTGTTACCAATACAAACAATGTGACATCCCCCATTTTTTAGAACCAATTAAAACTTTTTCTTTACTCTTTAAAATAATGAGTTGTTTTTGTTGCGGAAAATATCAGTTTAATAAAACATTTTTCTTGAGATAACAAATATTGTTTCAAAATATTACAATACCAAGGATGTCATAATTAAATATCCAACATATGTTACACCGTAAATATTAAAAGGTCATGAGTACTATAACAAACTCATCTCTTATCCACTCTGCATCCTAACTTAGATTCCAACACCCTTAGTTCCGCTACCTGTCATGCATATAAATTGAGTGGGTCAGGTTGGGGACACCTGGTGAGATACATAGGATTTTCAAGCCCACAATAATTTAATGATATTAAATTATATTAATAATCTTTCAAAACAAACATTTCCAAATAATATATATATATATATATATATATATATATATATATATATATAAATCCAACGTAAATATCTATAAGACATTCTACCAATACATACCTAGTCCACCCGATTCTCAAAAATCCTAGTTCAACGATTATCTGGAAGAATCACCTAACCTGATGATTCGTTTGAGTAAATATTTGACTACACAGGTAGGGGAGTCATTGGCCAGTGTAAGTCATTCTAAAGGCAACTGATGTTCAGAGTATTTGATAAATATGGTATCCCATTTTGTCTACATCTGTTGTGTAACACCTTGTTCCGAGTCTAATCATAATTCTGGTCCGTAACCTAAGGATCGATTATCATAAGGCTTTGGGCCTTGGAGAAAGAGAGGTTTAGACCCATTTGGTTGTGGATAAGGTAGGTTGTGGGTACCAAGAGTTCGGTTTGCACTTCGGAGCCCGAGGGTATAATGGTAAAAGTGATGGTTCGGGCCTTTCATGGATTAAGGATTTTAGTTCGAGGTTTTTTAAGTCAAAAGTAATTAGATAGGGTTGCAAAGCTCCTCATTACCTTTCCGTGGATATAAAGATCATCGAAAATGAATTTGGGACGCAACGCAAAAGTTATGGCCATCGGAAGATTGATTGGTAAGGAGCATATCGTGTATGATGGGCGTACATGGATGGATTGATCGCTAAGGCTCTTTCGCGAATGTTGGGCGTACCAGATGTACGTTGGGCGTTCGCGACTCGGTCTCAAACCCTAATTTAGGGTCTTGGATTCTATTTAAAGTTCTTAACTCATTCTCAAACCCTCTTATCTTCAGCCTCCATTCCATTTAACCCTAAATTTGAAACCCTAGCCTCTCTTGTGCAAATTTCAAGCCTTAGAGTGTTTTCTTGGTGGACTTTGGAGAACAATATATATTGTAAGAAGCATTGCTTGGCTTGGAGCTTGTGGATCCAAGATCTAGTTATCTTCATCAACTTCCAGGAGTTATAAAGTTTCTAACTTGATGACTCTGTGTGTTAGATCTAGTCTAGGGCTTGTTTTGGGTTTATTATGATCCTTTGAGTCATCCTTGTTCGTATAAGGTACTCCAGGAGCTTAGAATGTTAGATCTTAGCATTTCTGCGGTTGTTGGTCCATAAAATATCATCTTGATGGGTTTTGATGAATCATGCTAAAGTTAGTGTTCATATTATGGGTTTAGAAAGATAAAAACGGGTTTGGATCCCATTAAGACATGCAAAGGAGTAAGGTTTGCAACTTTATGGTTTAAGACCTTATTTAGAGGTTAGATCTGAGTTTGGACATTTTAATATTACGCATTAAGTGCTTAATATGAAGTTTGGTCACCTGATGAGTACGTTGGGCGTACGTATGCGTACGCTCAGCGTAATACATGAAGTCCCTGTCCTTGAGCTTTAGCGAGTTGTACCTTGTGCTTCAGCGGGGCGTACGAGTTGGGAACGCGGGGCGTATGCCATAGATCTTCTTTTGGGCCTTTTGGGCCTTTTGGGCCTTGTGTCTTTTTGGAGTTTGGGTCATGGGTTATTGGATTAGATATGGGAATGGTAAAATGGTCTTTTACCCATTGGAAGGATAGGATAT